TCCACCCGTAACCGATGACAGATGATCCGATGATCCGACGCTTAATGTCAGCTCAAACTGTGAGAATGACCACTGAAGAAACGCTTGGACTTGGTTGCAAGCAACTCCTGAAATGGTCGTCTGGATGCCTGTGACTTGAAGGAAAACTTCATGCACAAATTAATTTATTTGAAAAAGATCATTCTGTCTCCGAATGACTATTTCTGCTGTGGAACACAGAAGGAGATGTTTAACAGAATGTTCACACTGCTCTTTGTTTACATTTATTTTATAGCCACTGGAACATAAACACTGTGATAAACAGAAAGCACACCATAGAGGTTTGAAATGACATAAGGGGCAAAAATGATGACAAATGATGACAAAATTATTTCTTTAATGAAGACTTCTTTAATGAAGACTTTTCTCTCTAAAAGAGAAAAGAAAGAAGGCAAGAAATACAGAATGAAAGCCAGAACGAACGAATGCAAAAATTATAAAAAAGAGAAAGAAGGAAAGAAAGCATGAAGAAAAACAAAAAAAGACAGAAAGAATGCAAAAAAGAAAGAAAGAAAAAAAGAAGGAAGCCAAAAATGCATGAAAGACAGAGAGAAAGCAAGACTGAAGGAAAGAAGTCAAGAAAGCATGCAAGAAAGAGAGAAAGACAAAAAGCAAGAAAGATAAAAGACAGATATAAGTAAAGAAAGCAAAAAAGCAAGCAAACAAGAAAGATAACAAAATAGACATACAAATATGCAAAAAAGCAAGAAAAAGGAATTTTAAAAAGACGGAAAGAATGAAAAAAGCAAGAACTCAGCAAGCAAGAAAGAGGGCAAAAAAGACAGAGAAAGAAGAAAAACAGAAAGAAGGTAAAAAGCAAGACTGAAGGAAAGAAGGCAAGAATGCAAAAAAAAGAAAAAAAAGAAACAAACAAAGAAAAACATAAGGAAACCAAAAATCAAGAAAGACAGAGAGAATGAAGTCAAGAAAGCATGTAAGAAAGAGAGAATGACAGAAAGCAAGAAAGCAAGCAAACAAAAAAGATAACAAAATAGACATAAAAGATTGCAAAAAAGCAAGAAAAAAGAAAGCAAAAATGACAAAGAATGCAAGAAAGCAAAACAACAAAAAGAATGCAAAAAAGCAAGAGCAAAAAAGCAGGCAGAAAAGAAAGAAAGAAAGAAAGAAAGAAAGGCCAATAATGTGAATCCAGCTGACACATGCACTGTAAGACCTGAGAAGACGCGCAGCATCAGTCCTGAGCTTTATTCTGTCTCTCTTGTCCTTCATGAATGAAAGAGGGACAGAAAAGAGGATGGAGGAAAAGCCTGAGGAGCATAAAAGAGGGAAAGGAGGTATTTAGCGGGTTTTACCCTCTCTGACTCCTTCCTTCACTGCTTCGGTCTCTGAGCTCCGGCTCTGTGCCGCTCGGGCCGCTGACTGGATGGACAGCTGCTATTAAAAGTTGATTGTTTCAGGTTCAGGGAGTGTGAAAGGGTGTTATTGGGGTCTGCGATCCCCGTGAGGGTGGTCTCCACGCCACAGAGAGGGCAAGAGGGGGAGGCAAAGGAAAGTGTCACGTGACACGAGTCTTGCTGCGCAGCCCCAAAAAGGAATCTGGCGGAAAAACACACTTGTTGCCGCCTGCCTGCCGGGATTCTGCCTTGGCGAGCTTTAGTGAACACCGTCTCTCACACACATGGATTCACACAGTAAAACACAGCGAGGAACATCCCACCCACAAATACACACACATCTATTTAGACTAAACAGAGAAAAACACACACACACACACACACATACTATAGTTGCTCATAGGTGTGGAAGCCCGTTTCCATCACAGAATAAAAAAATAAAAATGTAATGCAACTTTTTAATCACACAATTCTGACTTTTCTCCTTTTTCCTGACTTTTGACTTTCTGACTTTTTCTAGTAATTCTGAGAAAAAACTCAGACTTGCAAGATATAAACTCAATATTATGAGATGTATACGCAAAATTATGAGATATAGACTCAGAATTCAAGATGTAAACTCAGAAATGAGATATAAACTCAGAAATGAGATGTAAACTTAGAATTATGAGATATAGACTCAGAATTCAAGATATAAACTCAGAAATGAGATATAAACTCAGAAATGAGATGTAAACTCAGAATTATGAGATATACACTCAGAATTCAAGATATAAACTCAGAATTGAGATGTAAACTCAGAATTATGAGATGTACTGAGAATTATGAGATATTAACTCAGAATTGCAAGATATAAACTCAATATTATGAGATGTATACGCAAAATTATGATATAGACTCAGAATTCAAGATGTAAACTCAGAAATGAGATGTAAACTCAGAATTATGAGATATACTGAGAATTATGAGATATTAACTCAGAATTGCAAGATATAAATTCAAGATTCTGAAAAGAAAAGTTTGAATTGCGAGAAAAAAAGCATTTACGTTTTTAATTTTTTTATTCAAAGTTGTGAGATGTAAACTCAGAATTGAAAAAAAGTCAAAATTCTGAGTTTATATTGCACAATTCTCACTAAGTCCGAACTGTGGGATAAAAGGTCACAATTATCTTTTTTATTCTGTGGCAGAAACGCGCTTCCATACAGCGGCACGATTAGGGGGAAAAACTATGAAATTTTTCTGATAAATTTATCAAATGATTTAAAATTTTATTTAAAAATTCTTAGTTTGCTGTACTTGCACTTCTTATTACAAGTTTAGGAAGATGGTTAGTGCATGATGCATTTTCAAACACACATTATAAGCGACTCAAAATCAGAGTAGATACAAAGATGGAGTATGTGCATTTACTGCAAACCGAGTCGCTTCAAGACAGTCACGAGCTGCTCGTGTGCAAATGAACACAGTGCCATGCTTCACTATGAAACACACAGTGTATATATTTAATTAAATCGCAAAAATTGCACTAAGCCGTATCGCAATTTCAGTTTATTCTGATTAATCATGCAGTTCTAGTTGCTCCGAAACACCTTTAAAACTCAAGACGTCTCTCATGCAGACGTGTGAATCGCTCTCAGTCTCAGGATATTATAGCAGCACTGCTACTGAACCTTCATTTGACAAGTATAATCTCTGGGTCTCCACCCACATGTTAGCAAAAGGTGACATACATGCATCGCCTCTTTAGCACTTTCCTGAGTTACATCTCAAGCCGTTGGAAAGACCGACTCAGAGGGAGGTTTCAGGCCAGATCTGCGTGAGTGTGAGTTATGCTAACGGAAGCCTTTTGGCACTAATGCAGGTCCATCAAACACTAATGAGCTCGGGGGGGAAGAGGAAGACACCCTACAGAGTCTTTCTCACCTCCAGACCAGATCCCACATCAACCTGGAGGGGATTCGCAACCAATGACCTCTATGTGCAAGTGTGCTAAAAAAAATCAATCAATCAAAAACAGCTTTCGGAAAGCCTCTGGGTTGCACATAAAAGCATGACAACTGTAGTTATGACTAATAGTTGACAAGATAACTGAACTGTTGAAATATTAGCAAGCCAGACAATTGACAGAAGCCTCAAAATCTGCTCAGAAAAAAAGTTTTCCTAATCACATAATGGACCAGTAACTTGCTAATTTTGTTATAGACTCTTCTTTGACAAAAACAACTTTAAGCAACCCTCTTTATGTTAATGTTAAGCACAAAATTAAACTATGGCATTGTGACATCATCCCCTCATTACTGATCTACTTCAGTGACTCATCTGAGATTTTCACACCCAGTTACACAGATTTGTGAAGATTATATTAGATGTTTGTTTTTCCCCCCATTCTAAACTTTCACAGTCTCTCTTTCTCCCTTGATCCAACATAATATGTAGTTTGCGTTTAAGAACCCATGATCACAATCAAATGCCGCACAACAAAATATGAAATCCCCCTTCAGGATAATTAAAATCCTATTAATAAAAGTGCAAAAATTATTTGAGGCTTATATATAGTTTACTTGGGATTATATAGCTTTTAATATAAAGAATTCAGAATTCTCCATAAAAACCTAAATAATCCAACATAAGCTATATATATATATATATATATACATACATATATATATATATATATATATATATATACATACATATAGACAGATATAGATCGATAGATAGATATGCACAAAAGAAAATTTATGTAGCCTATGGGCTTAAAAATAATTCAATATAATTAAATGTCGACAAGCAACATTTTGTGTTTTTCTGTTATTTTTTATCTCTTTATATGAAGACCTCCGGTCAAAAGACACGTAGTCAGTGTTGTGGTGGGGCTTCAGGTTAGATAGACACATTTGGAAAAGATATTCGGCACTTCAAGTATTTCCCGTTACAAGAAACAGCTGTTGAGATGAGGCCCATAAAACAACAGACTGACCTCCACACTGGAACTATCACAAACTATCACATCAAACGACAAAATATGTGCAGAAGAGAACCAAATGAAACATATAAGCATGCAAATCAACATGTTATACCACAGCTTGCTTGCTTGCTTCGTTAGTTGCAATGTCTGAGTTTGAGATACGACTGCGAGACCACCAGGATACTACAGCAAAAGTCCCGAGAGACCACCGTCATGCACGCTTCACAAGCAAAATAATGTGCAAAATTAAATCCAGGACAAAACCGATAGATCATACAGATATTAAAACTAACACTCAGAAAAGTTCTTGACATTTGAGCATTTCGCTCTTTAAATGACATCTCTCCTCCTGTTTAATAAGGTTTAGTTGCTTAAATACTTACGTGTTCATCATTTACTCAAGAGACCCTCAGCCTGAGTGTGTAATAGACACACATGTTTGGATTGTTAATCAATACGCAAACATTCCACTTGATTAACACTCCAGCACACTTACTAGACAGCACTGGAGATCCTATTCACACTTACACTGACATGATACAAAGTAACATCACATCTGTAAAAGTTCGCATCACGTTCTATACAGTAAACATGAGCTGCACACATCTGTGTAGTATGAAGGAATAGCGCGTTACCTTTGAAGACTCGCTTCTGCCTTCATCAGTCTGTGTGGCCTCGCGCTGATCCCAGCAAACTCCACTTTTCCCTGGAAAACTTGCGCGAGCGGAGCTGAAAGCCGAGAGCGTACCGATGGGGGTTCGAGAATTTCCAATAAAGCCCCTCTTTCTCCTCACACACACACACACACACACACACACACAGATGCAGATGCAGAGAGGAGCGCTAAACTCTCCTCTTGTGAATTTTATTCTCCGCTGTGTGCTCACATCAGCACAAACTCCGCAGAAGTTTTCTCTAAAGTTGGAATTTAGAAAAGAGATTCCATATTCGGTGCCGCCGGTTCCCGAGAGCCCAAAGTTGCAGCGGCAGCGCGAGAATGCGAGACCTCCCCCTCTCCCCCTCCTCTCTCTCATAATAATAATAATAATAATAAATAATAAGCACTGATATGCAATCTTACAAGAAACAAATATTTTAGAAATGAATTGGGTCTGTTGCTTAGGGGTTTTGTCTTTAAAAAAAAAATCTTTAATGTCTCGTCTCAACTCAACTCAACTCAACTCAACTCAATAACCACAGGACTGAAACTTTTTCTAGTAAAATACTGTTTTACCCAAAGGTGAAACGCCGTGCGCTGTTTGTGGACAGACACGCGGCGCACCGCGAAAACCCGGAGCAGAGCGCAAACGGGATTGAGTCTGGGTTTGGAGCAAGCGGCAACCTCCCGCTCTCTCTCGTGAAGCCAACAAGGAAGTGACTTAACCGCCTTCGCCCACTTTTGAGCTTCAAAAACGCTCTTCAGAAACCTACGGGTGACGTCACGGACACTACGTCCATGTTTTTATACAGTCTATGGTCTCAACTCAACTCAATAACCACAGGATTGAAACTTTTTCTAGTAAAATACTGTTTTACCCAAAGGTGAAACGCCGTGCGCTGTTTGTGGACAGACACGCGGCGCACCGCGAAACCCGGAGCAGAGTGCAAACGGGATTGAGTCTGGGTTTGGAGGAGTGAAGATCTGGGAGATAGAGAGGGATGTGGAATAAAAGTCATCAGAGTTATTAAACTTGTGTAAATAATGAATCTATCCAATGCAACGAAAAACATTTTATTAATCATTACAATTATTTTTTATTTACTTTCTCATTAGGCTATCTAATATTTATATATTTAATAGCCTACACATTCTGAGTAGGCTAGCAGTTTTACTGTCATGATCTCCAGCTGGAGTGACCATGAGCTCCTCTAGAGGGCACTCCATTCTGTCCCTTGCCATTCACTCAGGACTCCATTTCCCATAATCCTTTGCCCGAACTCATCAAGTGCATCACCTGTCTCACATTAGTAGGACAATAAGAATAGCACTCACACTCTCTGTCATCGCTGGTGATTGAATGTTGTATAGCTCTTCCGTGGTTTCTAAGTTTCCGTGTTTCTAGTTTCTCTGTTTCCTTGCCTTCGTGTTTTGATCCCTGGACTGTTTTCTTGTTTATGATTGTTTTGCTGCCTGCCCTCATGAGTCATGTCAAGTCACAGCTTCCATTCCTGAGTCAACTCAAGTCACAGCTAATCTTCATGAGTCAAGTCAAGTCTCAGCTGGTCTTCCAGAGCATCGTCACGTCTCAGCTGATTTTCCAGAGCATCATCACGTCTCAGCTGGTCTTCCAGAGCATCGTCACGTATCAGCTGGTCTTCCAGAGCATCGTCACGTATCAGCTGGTCTTCCAGAGCATCGTCACGTCTCGGCTGATCTTCCAGAGCATCGTCACGTCTCAGCTGATCTTCCAGAGTCTCGTCACGTCTCAGTCTCAGCTGATTTTCCAGAGCATCATCACGTCTCAGCTGGTCTTCCAGAGCATCGTCACGTCTCAGCTGATTTTCCAGAGCATCATCACGTCTCGGCTGGTCTTCCAGAGCATCGTCACGTCTCGGCTGATCTTCCAGAGCATCGTCACGTCTCAGCTGATCTTCCAGAGCATCGTCACGTCTCGGCTGATCTTCTAGAGCATCGTCATGTCTCGGCTGATCTTCCAAAAACTTGTCATGTCAAGCCTGCTCACGCCAAGCCTGCTCACGTCAAGCCTGCTCACGTCAAGCCTGCCACGCTAAAGCCTGCTCACATCAAGTCTGCCAAGTCAGAGCCTGCTCATGTCAAGCCATCATGGATGCTACTCCAGTGTTCCAGAGCATTGTGAATGTTGCATTTGAAGACACTAAGTCAGTCCCAAGGCATTTGAGCCTGGCATCCAGCGTGGAGGACCCTCAGCTTGTGTCAGTGCAAGCTGCTGGCATTCCAGGGGTCTCTACGCTCACGAGCTATGCAGACTCTACGCTCACGAGTCATGCAGACTCTACACTCACGAGCTATGCAGAATCTACGCTCACGAGTAACACAATTTCAATATTCTCAAGCCTGCCGGCCACCACTCACCCCAGTTCCCCAGGCACAGCACCGTCAGTCTTGGAAATAGACAATGTACTCTCTGTCCTGCCAGTTATGGCTATGGCCATTCTCTGTGTTTGGGCCGCACACACCACTGTAGTTTCCCCCGAGGTGACAGCCTTCACTGTAGAACCTCCCGAGGTGGTGGCGCCCACTTTACTCCCCGAATCTGATCACAAGTCTAGCCCAGAGAAGGCTCCTGATCCCAATTTTAGCCCAGAGAAGGCTTCTCTTCCCGAGTCTAGCCCAGAGAAGGCTTCTGATCCCAAGTCTAGCCCAGAGAGCTTATGTTCCCGAGTCAAGCTCAGTGTTCGCTCCAGCCCCTGACCTTAGTCTAGTGAGGCCTTCAGCCCCTGAGCACAGTACAAAGATGACTTTAGTCCCCGAGTTTGCCCCAGAGTTCACTCCAGTCCTTGAATCTGTCCCAGAGTTCACTCCTGTTCCCTCCAAGGTGGCAACGTCCGTTGCAGAACCTCCTCTGACAAAAGCAGGACTCTTTCCCAAGCTCACGGTGTTCCCTGTCAACTCTGTCTCTACCACAGACACTATTGTCAAACTCTCCCTGTTACCTGATGCCTCTGTTACGGCCGCGAGTGCCATCTCTGAACTATCTGTGTCTGTTGAAGCTCCTCTTGCTATTGCTGCAGAACCTCCAGAGTTGGCAGGGGTGTTAGCTTCAGCTCCTCTTAAGACAGGGGTGCCCACTTATGAACTCTTTGTCTGTACTGACGAGGTCATGGAGACCATCAGTGAATCCCCTTTTATACCAGTCTCGGCCCTAGAAGCCAATCATGAATTCTCAGCCCTGCCTATTCCGGTTGCTAAGACTGCTTCTGAATTCACAATCCCGGTCAAAGAGGCCTCTCCCGAACTCTCTGTTTGCCCTGTCATAACCAAGAAGGTCGTCTGTGAACTCTCCTGGTGATTGAATGTTGTATAGCTCTTCCCTGGTTTCTAAGTTTCCGTGTTTCTAGTTTCTCTGTTTCCTTGCCTTCGTGTTTTGATCCCTGGACTGTTTTCTTGTTTATGATTGTTTTGCTGCCTGCCCTGGCCATTGCCTGATTATCTGGATTACTCTTTTGCCTTGCCACGACCATCGTTGTTTGCTGTTGTTGACCACGCCTGTTTGACTACGCTCTTATTAAAGCCTTGCATTTGGATCTCCACTTTGTCGTCACGCCTCCCTCGTTACATTTACATCTCACTCCAAGTTGTGTTCTGTATATATAACTGTGTAGGCTATGTGAAGAATAAAATTCTTAAAATCTTGAAAATTGCTATGCATAGCCTTCAAATAAAGCGCTAATCTAAGTAGCCTACAAAAGGTTAAAAAAAATCGCGATGTTGCATTCTGGCCAGAGTTCGTTAACGTCCAGAGTAATGCTGTGTGTTTCTAAGCATTTCAGGGGACCTTTAAAGAATTTGGCATAATGATCACAGGAATAGTAATATCAAGAACATAATCGATCAAATTTTACCTTAATATAATTATAATAATAATAATATTATATATATATATATAAGATTTTTAAGAATAATATATAACTTTATTGAACTTTTTTGTTAACTAGTTTTCACTATTAATAGATATTAAACATAAACTATACAAATGTATTTATTATTTCATTAGATTATTATTATGATTATTTATTGGATTTCATTATTTATATTTTATTTACCCATTTTAATAACATATAAAAAGATTGAATTTTGAAGTTGCCTATGTAGGCCTATTTATAATTAAATTCCCTGGCTCGTCATTCTGTAGGAGAGAGTGGAAGGAGAACAGCGTTCGGAAATAAATTGGTATTTTTGTAGCACTACCTAAATGCAACGTGCGGTTTTTTTGCCGGGTTTTTTTTTTTTTGAACTCATACGACGCGATTGGCACGAACATCACACAGGTTACGTTCGCTGTTCTTGAACGCTGAATCAGATTTGTTTGGTCATCATCAAAAATCTGCGCATCAAACGTGACATATCGCCGACTGATATATAGGCTATGAAGTAATATCGGCCGATCAATCGGAACATCTTCGGAGTGCCGCGTTATCGTGGCGCGTTCAGCGTTATTATCGTGACATTTCCTGTTACGCCAGAACGATCAGTCACGTGACATCTACGACGCTAGTGATTTCCAATCAGGTGATTCATACTGAATGAAGTGAGTGGTTGCAAACAATAAATGGCAACATGAAGGTTAGGCGTTTTAATGAGACGATTTGATGGTTTTGAGTGATGAAATATAAAAATACATGGTTTGAACCCAATGAGGAAAATGCGTCAGAAAGTAACCTCTTCATAAAGTATTTGTTGACTTCAGTTACTCTTAAAATGTGTATCATTAAGTCATCTGTGCAAAGTGTCATTTGTGCTGAAAGACTCCACAGATTCAGGCTTATGGATAACATCTGTGATGATAATGATGTTATTCTCTCTCTGTAGGTCTACCGCAGATTCTGAAGTGATGTTTAGGAGTTTGCTGACAGTAAGGTTCAAATTAGAATTTGCATATTATTTTTAATATATTATGAGGTGTTGTGCATTAATGAAGTTTTAAGTACGATTTGTTTAAATAATTTTACTTTGTTTTAATTTAATTTTAAAAATGCATTATTTTAATGTATTTACTATTTTAAATACATTATAGTTTGTGTGCAATTAATTTAATTAATAATGAATTGTATTATTACATTTAATTATTTTAATTAATTTTATTTATTGTTATTTTGTTTATTAAATTTATTTATTATTTGTATTTATTTTAGTATGTATTTAATTCTTTTAAT